AATTTCAGCCACTGGCAAGGTGCTTTGGTAATTGACAATTTGCTCAAATACCTGTCCCTCTTAGTTATTATTATGTCTGGAAAACTCACAGCACGCAGTTTACAATAATAATAATAATAATAATAACAGTTGCAGATTTACCATTGACATTCTGAGGATTTTTTAAAACTTCATTACAGACAGACAAAAGTGGGCTTCAGGATTCAACTATCGCTGGTGTCAAAATCAGATGAAAACTATTTCCGATTTCCCATTGTTCCGACGACCCATGATTTAATTTTTTTTTTTTTTTTAGAAATGTCCAATTGGACCAAAGTCCCATTTGTACAACAGCCCATTATCCTGAACAATCTTCGTCATAGTCAGGTGACCTTCTTGTCATGACACACAGCCTGTGCTTTTATGTACTCAATGTGAATATTGTAGCATACCAGGCAAATTGACCATCGCATGGATTCAGCCGATCCCAGTGACCAGGCTGACCCACCACTTATGCTATTGATCACTGCATAATGAACAGACACAAGCTTATATATATATCACATGAGCAAATGAACCTGATCCCCTCACTCACTGTAACACCAGACTGACAACAACACACTGTGACAAAGTAAAAGTAATGTTGAGGCCGATGTTTAGGATTCACATTAACCTGCTGTTTTATTAGCATCTGGGTATTGATTCCTTTCATTTGATGTGAGATGCAGAGGAGCATCAGACTGCACTGTCGCCTGTTTCACTGAGCATGTAGCTTTCATAAGGTGCCTCTCCCTTCTTAGAGCCAGCATCAAAAATAGAAAGGCCGTTAAACATGGTAATACTGAAAAAGCTTTTCACTAAAAATGGAGGAGCTTCTTCAGATTTGAATCTCCTTCAGGCTAACAGCTGCATCTTATTGCAGATAAAAACACAGTTGAATCCATTCTTTACACTTTGCTCATGTTTTCGAACGGCTAAGAAATACACAATTTTCATACTCTTAACTATCTTTAACCTTAGAGTCCCATGCTGGGCAATTGGAGATGTGGAGAAATCCAAAGCTTGACTGATCTGCTGAGTGATTTAGTGAATGGTAAATGGAGGTTTACGTGGCCTGCTTAAGGGTCCATCAACAGGTCAGGTGAACATGGAATAATTATTTCTTCTCCCTCCAATTTTCACTTCTTACCAGCCAATTTTGACCATCCAGCCTGGGGATTTGAGCTAATGGCCATTCAATCACAGTCCACTTTTCAGCTATCACTATCGGGTGGGGATGAGAGTTCTGTTCCTGTCCCTCAGTGTCCCTTTCAGTATTTGTCTGGGGTGAAGAACAGGTTGTCTAAAATAACAAAGAAGACATGCAGGTGTTCGAAGAAGGTGAAATGCACAACAACATAAAATAACATTAATCAGTGTGCATTTTGTCTTCAAGGTAATTAAGAGCTCTCTCCGGGAAGGGGCTGCACACTGCAAACTTCACCGAGCATACAGCAAATGAAAAGTGTACTATGGAGAGCAAAACTCAACACTAATTAAATGCCGAAAAGGGACTGCTGGAGAAACAGCTAGTTCAATTACACTGTGATGGAAGGAAAGGTGTGAGGAGAGCAGAAGTAGGTAAGTAACTCAGACATGTGCATATTGTTCTGGGAAGGCGGTGAAGGTGATCAACTGATGTGTTGTTGATCACAGGGTTGGACAGGGTTGGGGGACAGACAATATTGACCCATCTGACCCCAGCACTGTTATTTATCTGCTAAGCATTTCATTTCCCATGAGGCACATCACAGTCATCAGATAAGCGCTGATGAGCAAGTAGAAAGCCTCCAAGATCGATTAACCTTTGTCGGCCCAGGAGACGACAATGCAATTGCCTTTCCCTGCACTCCTGGCTCAATTTGATCAATCCTATACAGACGGACAGTGCGAGGAGATGTGATGTATTAAGGTACTCTGGGTGTCATGATGTACAGTAGCTAATGGACAGGCCAGCCCATACAAAGGCTCTTCTCAACTGGATATGGCATTGAAGAGAATGAAATGTGTCATTGAATCTGGATGGATGAATATCGAGCAAAGGGAATGATGTGTTTAAAATTAACTTTATAAACTTTATTTGATAGTTGTTACTGTGATATTCCTGAGGTTTAAAGTCATTCTTAACTTAAGAAACAGCAGTTGACAGAACAGTCTCATCAAACAGTCCATTTAGTAGCCTAGCTATTCTGTACCTTAAAGGTGTTTTTGGCTAAGTTCCTGTCTATTCTTGCAGTTAGCAGTCCCCTCCCTCCTCCCCACATCACCACACTGAAATGCTGCTGCCTGCCCTTGCTCATTTAGTAAACTGATAATCCCTGACTGGGTGACATATTTTATGTATATTTCATATTAAATTTAAAACTGTACAATGAACCCAAACAGTGAACTCAGTAACTGCGAGAAGTTTGTGTAAATTTAGTTTTTTGGATGAATTTGAGCAGATTATTTCCTGTTAATAGAACTTTTTATACATTTCTGTCTGTACTATGATTTAAAAAAAAATAAATAATTTTAGCATTTTCTTGTCTGTGACATTTTGCTATTGTTCTATTAGACAATTTACTTAACAATTAAATAAAGAAAGCCTAATGGCCCAACCCAACACTGCTGGCTGTCAGAATGTAGAGCTATTTAACATCTACTATAACAAAACATTTTTTTGTTGTTGATTTCAGCAGTTGTAATCAGCAGTCATGCAATTGTAGTTTCCTTGTGAGAATGTAGAGATTCCAAAATGGAGGAATCTGCCATAGCTTATCTAGTTTTATTTAATATGATAATCAGAATTTCATCCATTCGATCCTATAAAATGGAAAGTATACGCTACCATACAATGTGCTAGTGTATGTGGAAGATCCATGCGCCACTGAGCAGTTTCCATAGGAATTAATGGAGCTTTGACACAAACTTTCCCTTAATCCATCCATGACACAGCCCTGTGAGTTAGTCACCATGCCATGCAGAGTTTAGAGTATGTATAATGTATATGTTTATACATGTGAGAAAACACGCTGGAACCACACCAAGCAGTGATGAAACTGGGTCCTGGAGTACACCTGTAAGTCACTGCACGAAGGTGAGTTCAACCACTGAAGGTCAGCAAACACATTGTAATGGGTGTTCAGATACTCTTTAAAGTGCTCAGGAAAAAAATGCTTATGAAGATCATGTGATATAAAAAAGGCTCTAAATGGACCCCGCTGCGGTTACATTGTTTTCTCAATTGTAATATTCCTCATGATAATCTTATTCATCGTTGGGACGTCTGAGTTTTGCTTTGTGTAAGGAAGGGCTACTGATTTGGGCTTTCATCCCATGCTGTCAAAACATTGTGAAGCAATGTTTTTTTCTCTGTCGCACACATCACTAAATTACTTCAATGGGAACTCTATCGATTTTAGACTTGTTTGTTTGTTGGCAGCTGGGTTGATTATTTTTACAGCTTGCATCAACTTTACTACAGGTGAACAGGATAAAAACATAATAAACTAATAGATGTCACCAGGAAACTTCCCCAGTTGATTACTTCAATTAAGGGTTATTTAAATGTGCAAATGATGCATTATCTAATTAGAAATGCACTATTTTGCGTATGCTCACCTGGTAGAGCCCCATGTAGTCTGAGTCCTTACCGCATCGGTCCAGGTTCAATTCCAACCTGCAGCCCTTTGCTCTCAAACTTCACCTGTCCTATCAAAATAAAATTCTTTTTTCATTTTTTTGATATATTAGAGTAAAAGGTTTTTACAGAGGGAATGTTGGATATCTCTTTTTATCACACAATAAATAAGAAAATATTGTCAACAGCCACAGAGAAAATATTTTTTTTATTACTGTAAAACGCTATACATTTGTAAGACACTACAGGTGAAAAGGGTAAAACTTGTAAGGAAGAGATATCCCGAGGCCCCACCATTCATTACTGATGATAAGGTCTGCAGAATCACTTCTTATAGACTTGCCTTTATCTGAAACTGTCGTTTCACTTTTTTTATTCAATTTTATTTTTATTTATTTATTTTTATTTTAGTTGTATGGCTTCTATTCTCCTCCTTTTATTGTATTCTGGTATTCTTTATTTTGTGTATCACAGCTACACTTTGTCAGAGCACTTTGTAAACTCGGTTTTAAAAATGTGTTATATAAATAAAGTTATTATTATTATTACTGCTACTACATTAAGACAATTATTTTTTGTATTACAAGTTTTAGGAAATATTATGTTTGAATGTTCAAATGAGGTATTATCTAATGCTAACTTTTGGTGGATTTAGGTGAAATCTACAGACATCTACAGATATAGACAAAGTATAGGTAAATAAACACCTTAATGTGTATTCTGAGCATTTTATTTTCACTGGTCTGAAAAAAGAGCTGTTATGGAAGCACAATAGGCCAAAATCTCCCAACTGAAATTGTGCGTTAAAAAACGAGGATTGTGCCTGCAGTGTCTGGCCTCAGTGTGAGTGACTTTTTCCTGCCCTATATCCTTACGATTGGGAATAATTCATTCCTCTTTATTACTATAATAAGATTATTTCTTTATCTAAACCTCCAGTTTAAAGAAAGAACCCACCAGATGCATTCAGGTCGGTTCAGGTATGGCGCACCCGTCACTTCGCCTTCCCTTTTTTGACGCCCATAATGCGCAGCCTTGACGTCGACGCACGGACCCCGGCTGTGAGGTGGGGGGTCTTGGAGAGTATAAGAGGTGTGTGTACACACAGCTACAGCACACGGACACAGCTGACTGCTGCTGAGGGGCCACGGTCTCCTCTTCCATCTGGATAGAAAACACAGGGAATTCTCGCACGCAGGGCTCCTCTCTGTGTCCACACAATTCTTTTTTCTTGGAAACTCCTTCACTCTCTTTCCGCTTCTTGCCTTTTAGTCGGACCCGCTCTCCCATTTCCTCACAATCAACTTCCTTTAATTGTGTGAGCAAGTTTTTCAGCACCACGAGCAGAGTGGACAGCGCCGCAGCGGCCGCAGCATGGAGCCGTACACGGTCCCGGGAGCGCAGCTCTCCCTGTCCGACCTTTACTCCGTCATCCCCTTCAATGTCACCTTCCCGGACGAGGAGAGCGGCTTGATGGGCGACAGGCTGCAGAACTACACCGAGCAGCAGGGTCCGGTGAGGAGCGCCGGGGGTATAATCATAGCCATATCCATCACGGCTCTCTACTCGGTCATTTGCGTGGTGGGACTCCTGGGCAACGTCCTCGTCATGTACGGGGTGGTCAGGTAAACACTGTTGTTGTTGTTGTTGTTGTTGTTGTTGTTTTTAATTGCAGTCATTTTACTGGCCGTATAAATTGTTTTAAATGAGTAGTGAGACCTAATAAGAGCAACATAGTTCAAAATGGGTGTAAAATTCACCAACATGCGCTCATGAGACCTTATAATGCCCACACCGACATTTAAAAGAGAACATTGAGTGAGTTTTCACTAATTCAACACATTTTGTTGCATTTTCTGTTCTTACTGTTTCCCCACTTTGATGAAAGTATTACATTGAGTACAAACACAATTTAACAGAAAGGTTTGATGCCATGAAAAGTGAGATTTTCTCACTCTCAGGAAGTTTATGGTTTTTGTGCAGAAATATGTAAGTATAAATTCACAAGACCTTTTTAGGGCAGATATGGTGTCTTTGCTCAACATTTTCCTAGCAGATCAGCATTTATTGCCCCATGAACAACTCTCTTTTTCTGGTCATCTCTGAGTGTGAGTTGAGCAGGGGGAGCAACCCTGGCTGCATTTGTGTGTTCAGTACCTGCGTTCTGAGCTGGCTCTCTGCATGCTTCTTTCATGATTTTTATGCTGAACAGGGTCGGGGGGCAGTCGCACCTCTAGTCTCAGTCTCCAGTTTCTCAATTCAGTCTGACTCAGCTGCGCCTCAGGCAGGGAGGGCTACTCACACACAGTGTCCATTAGCCCACACAGATCTGTGGACCATCTCCTGTCCACTGGGTTTGCTGGAAAGGGAGAGAAATTCCTGCAGTTACTCAGGGAGACATGTTGGGTCTTTATTTGGTGTATGTTCTGTGTTTGCCTCCTTATTGGCATGTAAACAGGAATGATGAACCTATCTTTTTAATTTAAGCTTTTTAATTTAAGCTTTTATAGTCTGTAGTTTTATGATGAATGATGCAAATGAAGGCATTTTAGGGCTTAAAAGCTTTGTGACTGATATAGTCCATTAGTGGATGTTTGTCAGTCCGAGGTCACTGTTTGTCTTCCCCCCTCAGCTCCAAAAGCAATATAATACACTCTCTTTGCCACTAGATTCAAGCACCCTGTCATTTCCTGAGAAGAACCTCCAGTCCTAACCTGCTCGCTTGTCAGGAATAAAACAGCTTATATCTTCTGCAGAAGCTCGGCTTGTCCTTGCTCATCATATTAATTACCTTCTAATCTCTGTATGTGTTCCCACAATATCACCTGAAGCGTTAATTACTTCAGCCAGGGTGACGAATTAAACAAGCAAGGTAGAATTAATTTAAGACTCCCCAATTTCAGCACAGAAGGATAACAGTCGGGGCCAGTGGTCGTTTTTCAGCCCACAAACATGACACGACAGGCTAAAATATACATAATAAGATTTCAAAGTGGTGTATAGGGTTGTCGGTGATATTTTACATTGAAAGAGAGCAGGAGGAGCACCGACAGAGCAAAACAGATGGAGCTGGATATAGGGGAAGCCACAAGCAAGCCATTTTCTGCAAGTGGCAATCTTAAAATATAGAGCCAAGAAAGACTCATAAATATTTACAACTTATTTCTGTTCAAGACTCGGAGTGAGAATAATGGGGAAAATAAGACAAAAAAGAAAGTGTGTTTGAGGGAAGTAAGAGGGAGACAAAGAGGAGATGGATGTGCGCTTGGGAAAGGCAGTGAATCAAATTGTGCGCAGCGATTCGCCTGGCGTTGTGTTTGTTTGAGTGAGAGGACTCATCTCTAATGCCAGACCCCCCTAGAGACGGAGGCAGAGGGAAGTTGAGCACATTAACCATCCCCATCAGAATATATTATCTCCTGTGGAACATTTTTAACATTCTAACTTGGAGAAGACGCCCAAACTCAGACAAGGATATATTATAATGAAAAGGAAAAGGAAAGCTGGGTAAACTTCAGTGAGGTAATCGTTTATCTTCCTTTAGCTTTCAAACTTTCTATGATGCATATTTTTTATTTACTAGCCTTACTCTGTACTACCCTGATGGTAAATGATGAATTCAGAGGCAAAGCAAGAGACAACCACACACAAGTTTTAACCCTTAAAATTGCTTCCTTGTTGATCTGGCGACCCCTGTGGATACAGGTGGTAACAACAAGTGTGTTTTGATAATACAGGTCCTACACGTTTATCAAAACCTTTAACTCAAGATCCACTCACTACCTCTTTTTCTCCAGAGCTTTCATATTTCATGGTCTTCCTCAGCAGATAGACCTGTAATCACGCGTTACTATTTATTATCCACACTTCACTGAGCTATCTGGAGGACTGAGCAAGGTCCATCCGCTAAGGAAGACTGTGAGATGTGATTGAAAGCTCCAGAAAACTGAGTTAAGATATTTTTTTCAAGATACTGTATTTAAAGGCAATGATGATCTCTTATTCCAGTCCCACAGGGCCCCATCATTGTTGTAAAAAGAAGACTAACAAAGACGGTCTGATAATGTCTAAACTGCTGACCAATGTTGTCGTCCAGAAAAGACAATTGTGCAAGCAGATTTTTACAACCCATACTTGCATTTACTGTTAAATGGCAACCTCTAGTGGCTGTCGTAATTAAGAATGTAGCGGTATAAAGAGCGAGAATGTCTGCACAGAGAGAAGGTTGGGGTAGATGGATGAACATTTACGTATTCAAAGTTTAAAGTTACTTAAGTTAGGTTACGTCACCTAAAATGCTTATTTTAACCCAAAACCCAAACAAAGTTTTTCGTTTTATTAACCTAACCAAGCAGTTTTGGTAAGTAAACCTAACCAAGCAGTTTTGGTAAGTAAACCTAACCAAATTGTGACAGTTTCACAACGTTAACCACATGTTTAAAGTTCCAGTGTGTAGAATTTAGTGACATCTAGTGGTGTAGTTGCAGATTGCAACTCACTCAACTCACCCTCCCTTTCCAAGCATGAAAAAAAGAAAGTCCTTGCTGGGCTACTATAGAAACATGGTGGCCTCCATAGAATACATCCATAGTCTGTAGATAAAAACGATAAAAAGCTCATTCTAAGGTAGGTAGGTTCCTATATTCACGTGATTATACACTA